ATATGTCACAGTTGAAGTATCTGATGTGTTGCAAAACTCAACACTACTGACTTTACAAGAAAAAGAGAGTATTACTACTTGCGTTTAAAAGCGTGAAGACTTTGTCATTAGACCAAAACACTTTACAGCTAATTTGCTTGATCCCAGATTTGGTAAATAGTTAAATTATTCAGAAATGCTTTTAGCTGAGCAGCATATATTCAAAATAGCTGAAAATGAAGCACTAGCTGCTGATGTTTTATTGGATGAATTAATGAATTTTAAAGCTCATAGTGAAATATTTAGCCAGGATAGTCGCAGCTATATTTGAGCTTAGTGTGGAGTGTAACTCAGTTATATGGTCGAAAGCATATGCATCTACAACATTATTGAGTAGAGTGGTGTTGATATTATTGAGAAAAGTGGTGTTGATATTATTGAGCAGAGTGGTGTTGATATTATTGTCTTGTAGCTGCAGCATTGCATCTGCTGAGCATGCAAACAAAGAGTTTTCTTTGCAAAAATCTAAAAAGCAAAATCGTTTAACTGATACGAGAGCATCAAAGCTAATATTTATTGCTTATAATTTGAAGATACAGAATAGATTGGTTAAATGTAAAAAGAAAAAAGATTTATGTTTAGAAAAGAAAAAGATTGTCAATAAAAGCAATATAAGCCATATCTTCAATGATACAGCACTCAATGATAACAATGATGAATATGACTGGGAATATTTAAGTGATGAAAGTGTTGATTTTCACATACCCTCAAAAATGGCTAAGCATTAACATTTTCAAAGACCTATTATTTTATTATATTATGATAGAATATCTGTAGCATAACTAAAGAAAAGATTATTCAATAAATTGTTCATTTAATAAATTGCAAAAAAATTATTTTTCAGTTATTCAAAGTAAAAAAAAATCATGCAAAAACTTTGCTTGTGTTTTTCCATTCTTATATATTTTTGTAGGAAATATAATAAAATAATTTAATTATAAAAAGGATTACAATTAGAATTATTTGCAATTTTGTTTATTATTAAAAAGTTGTAAATTCTTTTTTTTTTTTTTTTTTGAAAATTTTCTGGAATTTTTGAGCAAATTTCCCTAGAAATTTTCATCACTACTATATAGATGCTATTGCATAGATGAAAAGTCTCAGGACACAACAGGAAATCAAGGATAGAGACTGAAAACAATTTTCTTATATAAAAATGTACTTTTGAAAAATTCACACGAATGCTCTGGTCCCTTGATCACTGTAGTCTCCCAGAACCTGTCCGGTGTGTCCCTGGATAAAACCATTACTTTGTGTGTGTGTGTATATATATATATATATATATATATATATATATATATATATATATATATATATATATATATACACACACACAATAATCAAAATATAAAAAAGATAACATGCAGGAGCGTCTATCATCACCAAGCCTCATGAACCAACCCCCTCCCCTTAGTTCCCCAAAGAAGCGCTTTGTTCAAAGCGCGTATTGCCAAGATGCGAAGGGCGACGGGCCAAACTTGGCAATGGTTAATATTAATGTTCCAAGTATCATTATCTAAAAATTCATTAAACCACTTCATTAAACTTTGTCTTTATCCTATAATAAAGCTATCACTTTTACTAAATACAGCTATTCCTTTTATCTGTAAAAACATGCCCCCCTTCCTCAATTTTGAGTAAAAGTTACAATTTCCCCCTCCCCTCAGTTTTGATTTGTATGAAGCAGCTGCCTCTTGAATAAACAGTAGTAGACGCCACTTATGGTGCGCATAATTCTTTGCAATTTTGTTTACTATCTAGTAAATTAAAATAACTTTTTTTTTCCTGAAAATTTTAATCAAATTTTCCCAAAACTGTATATGTGAATTTCCAATTTTTATGAATTTTTAGATGAATTATAATAAAATTATCTAAATATAAAAAAGATTACGCGTATAATTCTTTGCAATTTTGTTTATTTTCTAAGAGTAAAATAGTAAAATCAAATTTTTTTTTTATTTGAAAATTTCCGGATATTTTTATCTCTAGAATGAGCTAAGATGAGAGATAACGAATGAATGAGATAACACAACATTAAACAATAAGAAGAGCGATAGAAAAAAAAAAGCAAACAAAAAGATATATTTAAATATTATGAGACAAAAAAATATGAAATCTCTTGAATAATAGCAACAAATGTAAAGCGCAACAATAATAAAAATAATTAGCAACACCACAAGAAAAAAAAAAAAAAACACGATACACATATGAACACGGCAATATAAACGATGCACAAAATTACACGACAGTATAAACAAAAATAGAAATACACGACAATATAAAGAATACACAAAATTACACGACAATATAAACAATGCAAGCAACATAAATTATTAAAGCCTAAAAATTGTTTTTTTTTTCGTTTTCTTTTACTAACTTATTTAAGTTTTTTATTTTCGATTATCTCAAGAACATTTTTTCTATTAACTTTGCTTTTAAATGTTCTATTTATTTAATATTTTTTTCAATTTATATTCTTTAATATTTTTATTATTTTCACTTCATTAGTTTTTTGAAAATCTTCTATTCTAAACAATTTTTTTCTTTTTTTCTATTTTTCAGCATTTCGCCATTAAAAAAAAACTATTAGAATTATTTATTCTAAACAAATTAGAAAAGATTAAAAAATGGATTGGGGATGTCCATAAATGATGTCAGTGACTTTTCTTAATTTTTCTTAAATCTTAAGTTATAATTTATTTTGAGGTCATGAGAAGATCTAAAGTACCATGTAGTAAGATCTAAAGTACCTCTTTACTCATAGTAAAGTAGTCTCTCTGCTGAACAGAGAGTTTTATTAAATTTTTATTTATTTTGAATTTTGATTATAGGGGTTAGTCTAGTACTCTAATAGCCTTATTTTAGACGCTTTTACCTTTTTTGAAGCCTGTTTTTCTTGGAGGTCTGCTCTGTTTGCTCTCCTCCAAACTTTTGTAGTTGTGCAGTAATAACAGCAAATATCTACCTTCCTACTGACAATATCAATGTCATCTTTTATAAGTTTAACGGTTCTTTTACACAATGAAACAAAAAATTAGTCACTTATAGAGGTTTTCTATAGTACTTCTAACCCTCTGAATTCAATTATGACATTATTTTTTATCTGGTGTCTCTTGCTGTTTTGATATTAAAATTTATCTGCTTTACTGAAATTGCTCACTATGCAATTTTTCTCTATATTTTTTAATGACACCATTTTTTTCATAAAACTGTTTTATTAGCGTCTGGTCTTTTCTGTTTTGGATATTGTTTAACATAATTATGTTGTTTTTTGGAAATTGTAAACTTTCTGCAAACTTGGTTTGTTATATTTGTGGTTAATATATTGGTCCAAAACATCCAAAACATCAATTATTATGTAAGACTATGCTATGGACCGAATATGCTGCGTACTTTAGGATCCAAATAGGTGATAAGGACAAGAAATGGGCCTCATTTGTCATCTGGTAATTGCAGATCAGCTTTGGAGGGCTGGGTATTAGCAAGATCGAAAAAGCATGCCATTTGCTATTTCTAAAAAATTTTATAATACAGGAAAAGGCATCATTTTCCCCCTCAGTTTTATGAAGTATCGAACTGTTTTTGTTTCTGTTGGGATGTTGATGAAGAAATTGAATTCTTGCATAAACATAGAGTTTAGACAGATAGTTCCATTCGTAGCCTCAAAGGTGTTCTTTTACATAATGGAAGCTTTCTATACCTGAGGCTCACTCAATGGATTTGAAGGAAGATTACATCAGCGTTAAAATTTTGCTTGAGAAGAACTACAATGATGGCATCAATGGAAGACTTAAAGATAATAAGCTTCCTTTAGAAACTATAATGTCTAGTTCGGAAAAAAATGCATAGCAAAAAAAAAAAAAAAAAAAAAAAAACAATAAATAGAAAAAGTAGCAAAAAATGGATTTAGACAATAGAAGTGAATAGATTTTAAGAAACAAAATCTACAAAGAACTAGTGGAGAATTTGGTAACAATATAGAGTATATCTCCATGTACACTGGGAACAGCATAAGACATTACCTTTTTTCTGTCTTGTAACTATCCTGCTAGAGTAGTTCAGCAGGCTCCACATATCACATGAGGAATAGTTTGTCCTGATCACTTATAAACATTCCACAATTTGTTATCTTTCATGATCTTACGTATAACATGCTTTTTTCTAATATAATATTCACATACATAACAAAATATATCAGGAGAGTTTTGACAGCTTTTAGCAGCCATTGTTACAGAACTTACCCAGTCTGCACAAATACTTAAATGTGTGTTATATATGTATTAAGAGTATATAGTTTTAAATAGGTTAAGATGTTTTTGAAACAATTTGTACTTTGGTCTTAAACACAAACTTTAAATGCGTATTTAATAACAAGCATATATTTTTATGTATTTTATAAAAGATTTTACTACGTGGAAATGGAAAGCCTTGTATTAAAAGTACCTATTAATGATGTATTTTTCTGTCTACAATATTTTTTATTATTATTATTTAGTTATAGTTATTTTTATCTGTCTAGTAACAAAATAACAATGTTTTGGAAATTTTTTGGTACTGACAATGTTTGGGCACTAAGTTGTTGATTGACGCTAAAAATGTTATAACTTTAAAATGGTAAATGGTTCAGAAAATTTTTTTTAAAGTTTTGGAATTAGCAGAGTAAATTAATTAATAAACAATAAAAAATTTATAAAAACTTTGTAAAAACTTGTAACAATGTGTTATTTGCAAACTTAATAAACTAAAATTAGAGATTATCATAATCTAGAGATAATCAAGGATCAGAGACAGTCTTAATCTAGAGATAATCATGCAGTAGAGAGAGTCATAATCTAGAAATAATTATATTTTAGAGATAATCGTAATATTAAAAAGCCAAAAATGATATTTCCCTTAATAAAAAACTTTGTTACATTTTAAAAACTATTAAAAACTATGTACATATAATAGATTATAGATACCTTAGACCACTGAGAAATTATCCAACTAGATTCACATGGTTTTTCAAAACATTTCTGAACTGATGGTGGCCTTTTCATAGATAGGCATTTTATTAAAGGCTGTCTGGTCCAAGTGCCATTTCCAAATCGTTTATTACATGTTACTAACCGCCTCATTCGACCAAAGCCACAAGCAGCACTACAATGACTCCAATCAGATACGAACCAACTAAGTAGTCAAAAACATAAATAATTGTGTACATAAGCAATTAAACATTAAAAAAAAAAAAAATTAATATATTAATTAAAAAACACCACTAACCTTTTTTCACATTCTTGCTCATTACAACTTTTTGTAATTATTTGAGGTAATTTAGCACCAGAACATTTTTCTTTATCAACCACATGTACATAACCTTCGTGCATATAAACACATTTTGGTTTTTCTTGATGCATCACACCTAGCAACAAAATATGCAAAGTAAAATTTATATTAAAATTTTGACATAAAAACTTTTTGTGTAACATAAAACATAACTGTAATAGAATAAAATAATGTAATAAATTTGTAATAATAATGGTATAACATTTTTCATAGCTAGTAATTCATATATTAAAACCATTAGTAAATTATAGTTACCTCCACCACAAAGAGCAGAGCATTTCTCCCAATCACCTTCCATCCATCCATAAAGACCTCGCTTTTTAGTTTCATTTTTGAATTTGATATTTAAAGGAAGAGTGTAACGATACTTAACACCAAAGTTAAAGTCTTGAAACAAAACCTATCATTATTTATACTATAAAGTTAATGCATACTATATAATTATAAGTTAATAATATACTATATAGTTAACTTAAGCAGATATAGCCGATTTATGTAAAACCTCAAAAAAAAAAAAAAATTAGTCAAACAGTTAATATATGATTGATCTTTTCATTAATTTACATCTAAATTTTTAAGAATTTCATTAATTTAATTGAAATAATAAAAAGTTTTAACCATTATTTTTATTTTGACTGGTGTTGGTCCAACAGTGTAAAAGAATTCTTGGGTGGATTTTCTCAAATAATAAACTACAGTTTTATTAAAATTGTATTTTCCAGCCAACTCAATAACACCATGGTTGTTAATACTAAATGTTTCATGTTCGCTCTTTAAAGCTAAAAATAACATGGTTTGTTAATAGGTAATATGGATAGAATTTTAGATTTATATTTTTTTAATATAATTTTTTTTTTTAGTCAATAACCACCATAAAACATTTTGTTATTTTTCTTTACATTTAGGGAGTACACAATAATTTCACAATGAGTAGAATTGAAATACATTTTTAATAACTAACTTACTAATCTTTTTTTAACAACACCTTTCTTATATCCATATTACCCCACTAGTGGTGTAATATGGATACTCATATTATATTTAATACATATATCACACATATTGCTTTTAATGAATTTAAATGGTCAAACTGTATTGGTTTTGTAACAGTTTTCTTTTTCTTACTGATACACTGATACACTTTTTCTTACAACATACACTTTTTCTTCTATTTAGTTTTATTCTTCTCTTTTTCTTGCAACCTTATGACAACATCTTGAGCTGTTAAAAGTTTGCCCCTTTTAGCCAGAAGACTTTGACACATTGTATACTGATTCCCCTTCCTTAACAAGCTCTATGGCAGCCATTAATTTGCTGTGATATATGTATCAATAGTCTTGCATTTATATTTTATTTCAGACATGATAATTTATTTCAGTCATTATTTTATCTGAAATATTATAAAATTAAGAGCCATTGTCTGAGAAATCCAGGCAAAATAAGCAAATTCTGGAAGTGATGTCTTCAAATTGTCTTCATTTTCAGATATTTTGTAAAAAATAATGAAAGTAGGCCACTGGTAAATTTTTTTTTTAAATTCCTATTTATTTCGGAGATATTGGGTCGCCCGTTTTGAGAAAATATTTGAGCATGTAGTGCAATTGCTACTTTGAAGGACAATTTTAGCAACATGAGTATGACAGACACATTTCTTTTTAATTTTTCTGCTAATCTAGATAGATTTCTACAGTAAAAATAAAAATTAAACATGGTTACATTTTTGGTTGTCTAGAAATCATGGTCCGAAACAACAAAAATTTGAAATTTTACCCTAACTTTGAGCTCTAATATCTCTTAAGGCCATTACTTGCACGCAGTTTTCTTAGATGTTTTCGAAAGTCACTAAGACATACATTGATTTTATGTAACAAATATGATGTGCATGCAAAGACCTGGGAAGAAGTAACCTGCCAAAAATCACTTTTTGCATTTAACGCGTTTTGTTAGATTACCCATAACAACCGTGGTCTTAGGTCTGCCATGAACAGTATAAGTTATTTAGTTTCCTTAAACATGCATCATCCAATATCTGAAAAAAAATCCATGTGCTCAGATGATAAAAAGCCTACTGAAGTCCTAGAAGTAGCCTTACTTTGCCAATTTTTGAACTAAATAATGCCCTAGCAACGATACAGAAATGCTTAGCAACTGCTACTTTACCGCCTTAATAATTAGTTGTGTAATTGAAATTTTGATATAGTACTTTTTTATAACGGAACTGTACAAGAGTACTTGATAAAAACTTGTGTTTTAACTTTGTCAATGAAAGAAAGAACCATTAAACTTAAAGATCAACGTTTTTTCCATTTAAAATTGATGGGAAATACAGTTTTCTAAGAGTTATAAACAAAAAAAATATAAGAAGTTTATTAATGGCCAATCTGAATTTCCACGTTGTTAATATCGTCTTTTGAGAGTGAATAATCTCCTTTTTGATTAGTTGGTGTTGGTGCATCAATTTTACAAACAACGTCAAGAGATGAATATTGGAGAGTATTTTCTTTGGTTGGCCACTTGAAGCAGTTCTTTCCAGGTGCAGCAGAATATTCCATACAAGAAACATATATATCATCATCATTGACCTAATGGTTGAGGTAAAGATAAAGTAACGTCTAACCATTGCTGTTTCTTAAATATTCCTTAAAATTAGTTTATATTGTTAATAAACAAATAGTTTTGTATTTCAATGAAATAGATTTCAATACACAAAAATACAATATTTTAGTTTTATTTAACTTCTTACATTTTGAATTATTGCAGGATACCATTGCATAAAGTATGGAACAACAATCCAATCGCCGATTTGAAAATCAGCTGCTAACTCTTTTGCAATCAACTGAATATTGTCGTTTAAATTATCTTCTACATTTTCAGGTGCATCTCTCACATCATCAGTTTCATCAACCACATCATCAGTTAAGTTAACCTCTTCACAAAAAGTGGTTACCAACATTCCTGTTCTTTTTTGTTTGTCCTCAGTGTCCTCTGCGGGTGAACTTGCTCTGGACTCATTTTCTTCCCACGTTCTTCTACAGCGATAAGCATCTGCATTAGCAATGTTTTTTGCTTTGAAGAATATCTAAATTCTTTTCTTTTTGGTAATGCCCATCCAGTGATGTTTGTGAAGTTTTCAATCCCTTGTTTAATGATAGAATAGGATAGTAGCAGGTAATCAGAAGAATTAAGGCTTGAATTTAGGTTCATTTTGTCAACATAGAAATGTCTTGCTCTATCTACCATAGATTTTGCCACAGATTGAGAAGTGAGGTTTTCTGAAAGCATGTGGTCTGCTAATAAATCAGTATCATAAAATGATTCAGCACGACCAATTTGTGTACACAAATTAAGAGTGTTAACACTTCTATCAACACGTTTTACTAAAACAACATTTACTAAAAATACTAAAAACTGCATCAGTTTATATTTGTCATCAAAGAAATGTAATGAAAGAAATTTATGTTATGTAACTCAAGTAAAGCATGGTATGTACCAAGTAGTCATTAACGTAAATACTACACCAAGTTGGCAGTCATTTTGTCCCTGCAGTATTATCTTGTTCTATCAACAAGTGTAATAAATAAAATGTTCTATCTAATATATAAAATAAATACAATAATATATATATATATATATATATATATATATATATATATATATATATGTATATATATATATATATATATATATATATATATATATATATATATATATTATATATATATATATATATATATAAATACAATGTTCTACCTGATATAATATATTAAATTAAATAGAACATTGTATTTATTTATATATAACTTTTGTTTGTATTTATTTTAAGTGCTATATGTATTTATGTCAAGTACTCTTGTACAGTTCCGTTATAAAAAAGTACTATATCAAAATTTCAATTACACAACTAATTATTAAGGCAGTAAAGTAGCAGTTGCTAAGCATTTCTGTATCGTTGCTAGGGCATTTTTTAGTTCAAAAATTGGCAAAATAAGGCTACTTCTAGGACTTCAGTAGGCTTTTTATCATCCAAGCACATGAATTTTTTTTCAGATATTGGATGATGCATGTTTAAGGAAACTAAATAACTTAAACTGTTCATGGCAGACCTAAGGCCACGGTTGTTATGGGTAATCTAACAAAACGCGTTAAATGCAAAAAGTGATTTTTGGCAGGTTACTTCTTCCCAGGTCTTTGCATGCACATCATATTTGTTACATAAAATCAATGTATGTCTTAGTGACTTTCGAAAACATCTAAGAAAACTGCGTGCAAGTAATGGCCTTAAGAGATATTAGAGCTCAAAGTTAGGGTAAAATTTCAAATTTTGTTACAGAAAAGTTCACTTTAATGTCTTAGTTTTTTTTCAAAGTTTTTAATAAAATTAATTGAAAATTTTTTAAAATTTCGTTTACATATCTGCTAATATTGTTGTTTTGGTATTCAAACAGTATTGGTGTTTTAGTTCCAACCAATAAGTATCAATATTGAAGGGCAAAACTTTTGAACTTTGCAGTCTCTCACCCAGATATTTTTAAACCCTATTTCCGGCCAATCTAACTGAAACTTTTGTTCAGTTTCTCTCTATCCTTTTTTAAGTGATTCATATTTATTCTTCAATCATTTCCTTCTTCTTCACATCAAATTACCCAAAGTACTTCATACCCAAAGTACTTCATACAATTATTATAAGGCTATTATAATTATAATATAACTTTTATAATTTTTTTTATAAATTTTTTTTATAAGCTTGGGTTGATGTCTTTCTTTTCTCCTTACAAATGTGCTTCTTATGCCCCCCTCCTCCTTCTTAGATTTAAACAAGAATAGACAGACATTTTTACCTGCCCTTCAATTTTCTTTTCACACTTCATGATTTTTTCTTGGATGCCTAGATTTGATTTAAAGGCTCTTACCAACATCCAAAACAATATAATTCTTTTTCAGACATTTTAATCATTAAAGCTTGTACACTCAAAATTTTTTTGTATGCACATCCAAAGTTTTCACATTATTCTATGGCTTGTTGTAATGATAAATGCCACAGCATAGCAAATGTATTTTTCAGAACTCTTAAATATCTTAAATCAACTATTTAACAAATGCCTATTTGAATTTTGTTGCTGCCTGTTGGAAAACACCATTTTATCATAATAATCATTTATTTTTTTAAAAATTTTTGAGATCATCAAAAGATTGTTCATTTGGTTTTTTTACTATTATTAAAGTTTTTTTTTTAATTTTATTTTACTTCACCTCCTCAAGGCCGAGAAGGCCACTACAGACGAGGAGGCTACTTATTTTGTGGCTATAACCCTCTCTCAACTCTATAACTCCGAAACACGAACCTTGACGAACAAGGCCGCTGCGCAGAGAAACGAGTTGAGCGCGGTACTACCAGGGACGTGGTGGGGATCGAACTCGGAACCACTCGTTTATGAAGCGAGCGCTCTACCACTACACCACTACCGCATACATAGTACTATTATTAGCATACAATACTATTATTAGCATACATAGTACTATTACCGCATACAAAGTACTATTATTAGCAAAGTATATGATAAATGTACCATGCTGTAATAGTAAAATCATAACAATATTTGGTATCTAACCATAAATTTAATAACTTTCGAAGAACCAATGTGATTTTCAATTTGCTCTTTCTTTTGCTGTAGTAATCTATTATTGGTAATAACTGTACAACTTATTTTTTAGAGAATACACTAAGTAAAGCTTGAGTTCAGTGCTATTAAAGTGAAATTTTATATATGAGGTTAGGTTTTATTGTTACAGATATATATTTTGTTAACAAAATAAACCCAATATGATAAGCTTGAGGGGCCAAAAAGCTTATAATAATAATAAAAAAAATTGTCACCTTTGCTAAATCATCCATTTTTCAAAAAAAAAATAACAATAAATGGTTAATGGTTATCTTCCTTTAATTTGTAAAGATTCCAATAGTCGCATTCTTGGCCTGGACATTTACATTCGCAAGAATTCACCCATTTGTTGGGAAACTAGGTCTGACTATTCTTTAATGTGCTTTCGTTTAGCACCACTTCACTCTATCGTCTTTCTCTTTGTTCTATATCGCTCTCCTTCAACTCAAGACTGCACTTTTTTGATGTTATTTCTGATCAAATTGAAAAAAAAATCACCCTCTCTTTTTATCTATCAGCCAGATTGTTGTTGTTGGTGCCTTATTGTTGATGCTTGGCTTTAATGTAAGTGACTCTGCAGGCAGGCCCACAACTTTTGCCTTTCTCAATCCCTAACTCAAATAGTCAACTTTCCAACTCGCTTTCTACATAACCCGAATCATTTACCTTCTCTACTCAACTTATGTCTTGTTTCTGATCCTAGTCAGTACTCAATTTCTCCACATTCACCCTTAGGTGCTTGGATCACAATTTGATCTCTCTAAAACTATTATCTAATTCTTCATCATCTGAATTCCCCATCTACATCTTACAACTACCATAAAACTGACTGGGACTCTTTCTGTGATTTTCTTTGTGATGGCCATTGGGTAGAAATCTTTCGCCTTCCTGTAGACAAATGTGCTTTTTACATAACTCTTTTATTCTCTTATCTTTTATTCTCACTTGACAATTCCAGATCAAGCCTCACTCTTTTCCATGGTTTTCTTCACATTGTGCTACTGCAATTTCAATCGAAACAGTTACTTCCATATCTATCAGCAAAGAAATTCTCAAGAAAACAGAAATCAGTTTATTACTGCTAGAAACCATTGTAAAAAGGTTTTGTCTAATGCCTAAGCCCACAATTTTCAGGTCTTGAAATCTCATACTTCATCACAAAAATTAGGCTCTCACGACTTTTGGAGAATATTTAATAGTATCAATAATAAGGGCAAATCCGTTATTCCACCTCTTTTGTATGGTTCAGACTTTGTTACCTCACTTAAAGACTAAGCTGAATTGTTTGCTAAGAACTTTTTATCAAAATCATCTCTTGATTTACTAGTTGCGTTCTACCTGATATAACCGACAAACAGTTTGATCCATTGCTTGACATTCCTATCACTCCAGCTTCTGTATCTAAAGTGATTTCCTGGTTAGACTCTTCTACAGTTTGTGGCCTGGAAAACATACCTGTTTCTTGCAGAAGTGTTCTCCGGAGCTGTAGTCTATCCTTTCAAAACTATTTAACAAGTGCTTATCAGAGTCTTGTTTTCCAGCCTGCTGGAAAGCAGCATCTGTTATCCCTATTTTTAAAAATTCTGGAGAGCGATCCGATTTGTCTAACTACGGTCCCATTAGTCTTCTTCCTATCATAAGCAAGGTTTTTGAATCTTTAATTAACAAACATATAATCTCTCATCTCGATTATTGAATCCTTCCTTTCCAATTGTAGTATAAAAGTTGTCCTCGATAGACAGCACTCTTCTAATTCTGTAAACTCAGGGGTTCCTCAAGGTTCAATCCTTGGCCCTATATTCTTTTTATTCCATTTATTCTTGTTATGGTAAGAAGCCAACACTCTCTGATTGCTTTCACTTCTGCTACAGCATGGGGCTTACAGTGGCTGGTGAAAAATAATTCAGATAAAACTCAACTTTTTTCAACCAATCGCTATCACAATAATTTAGATCTTTCTATATTTATGAACGGTGATGTACTCGATGGGTCATCTACTCTTGATCTTCTAGGATTAACTCTTACGTCCAAACGTTTTTTGAAACCAAATATCAAATCCGTTGCAAAATTAGCATCTGCTAAGGTTGAATCTCTTTATCGAGCTTGACACTTTCTTACTCCGGATTCTATTCTCTATTTCTATAAATCTCAAATCTGTCCTTGTATAGAATACTGTTACCATATCTGGGGCGGATCTTCTAATGATGCCTTTTCTTTTTTAGACAAGGTGCAAAAACACATTGTAAACATAGTTGGACTTGCTCTTCCAGTCAACCTTCAACCATTATCACATCGTCGTTATACTGCTTCTTTTTCTTTTTTCTGCAAATACAATAACGAGCACTGCTCTAAAGAGCAAGCGTCTCTTGTACCATCTAAACTAAAATTCATTCTCATGTTATTTATCATTCAATTAAGTCTCATCTTTTTTCTGTGACTGTTCCTAAGTGCTCCAAAAATTCTTATTTGTCTAGTTTTTTGCTTTGAACATCAGTTATTTGGAATTCACTTCCTTTATCTTGCTTTCCTGATTCATATAATTTTAAATCCTCTGTCAATCATTATCTTGTTCTACAATCTTTATCTTTTATCTTCCAGTAACTTCCAACTCTATTAGTGGTTGCTTGCAGCCTTGTTGGAAGCGAAGATGTTATATATATATATATATATATATATATATATATATATATATATATATATATATATATATATATATATATATATATATATATATATATATATATATATATATATATATAAATCAATAACAACAAAAATAACAAAAATATGTAACAATCATAATTATAACAGTTTTTATATAGATAATAAAGAGATAACAAACTTTAAACAAGTACCTAAGAAACTTGCACATGGCTTTTTTTCCCAAACTAACAAATTCATTGCACCTTGTGGAATATTTGCCACATCAACATAACCTAAAAAGAAAAAGAAAAAAAAAAAAAATTAACAAATATAAAATGAAAATTTTTTTATCTTTTAATATCATCTTTAATCTTTTTTTTATTCATTTATTTATATTTGACTTAAAGATATAAAACTTTAAATAATTAAGAATAAAAAAAAAATAATAAAAAATAAAAAATTAACCTCTACCAAATGGCTGATTAAACTCTCCTTCAAAAACTCTACATGAATCTCCAATCCCTCCACAGACACCACAAGAATCCATATGTATTTCTGAATCCAACTGCTTATCGCATCCTAACTTTTTGCACTGACCTTCAACACAAATTCCATTCATTTCTAATGTTATAATAAATTACAAAGTGTATAAAAAATAACATCAGAGAACCTAAATATTTAAGACTATTCTTTTATAAATACTATATCAAGTATATTAAAAATATTCATAAATACTATATTAAGTATATTAAAAATAATTATAATTACTATATCAAGTATATTAAAAATAACTATAATTACTATATCAAGTATATTAAAAATAACTATAATTACTATATCAAGTATATTAAAAATAAAAACTAATTTTGGTGAGTAAATATTTTAGTAAATTTTTATAAATAGAATATTGTATATATTAAAATATTTTTTTAAACTTATTCAATATACTAAAATAAATATTTTAAACATGTCAAGAAAAATTGGGTCATGATAAACATTTATAACTTTAATCAACATAAAAATTCACAACTATATTTATACCTTCATTGTAATCTGTATATCTCATAAAATCAAAGAAATCTAAAAGCAAAATATGTTAAAATATAAACTAACTCAGTTTTTTACATCGTACATAAAATAAAACTTTTGTATAAACCATCAATTATCATTTAAAACAAATTAAACCTTGGTGACATGGGGTTCCATCAAGAACTTTTACTTGAAACATAATGGAATCATTGTTTGGAATGTTTATGTTTCTACAAAACAAAGAACATGGTTGAGTTTGATTGTAGACATCTATCATTGAGTTGTTACCATATTGCAAACACTGTTGGAGTCGAAATGACACAGAATTAAGTGGACATGGCTTCATGTTACATGTTTTATATTTACGACTTGTACCAACACAGTATCTTCCTCCATTCTTTGGTCTTTGGAGTGAAAAAAACTTATGTCAAACAACTAAATTTGAAAACTTAAAGTTGTAGGTTGCCATTCCAATCATTATTTCTTTTTTATGAATCTATTTGATCTAATACTCACATAGGATTGTTACATAACATCTCTGTATAAGAAACCCCAACTCCACAAGATCTACTACATACAGACCATTGGTTTTCTGAACTCCAACCTCCATTCACAGGCTCTAAAGTACTTGTGCTATTGATACATTGGCCATCAATACAAAACTGCAATTTTTGAAACATAACAAGTTGAAGTAAAATTAGATTATACTTTAGAGAAAACTAAATAAATTTTATTGTTTTTTAAAAAATCACAAAAATCCAACTTAATAGGCTAGAATGTTTTTGTTTTTAATTCAGAATAATTTATTTTAAATTTTTTTACTGTTTTTATTATTCAATTTTATTTGTTCTTTTTTTTATTGTTTTTTCATTGCTTTATCAACTATTTTATATAGACATTTGCAGATTAAATTAGTACAGTAGAGTATACATATATCGACTGACTTAAATAGGTAGAAAATGCAGGAAATGTACACACATTGAAAAATTAAAGAAATCTTTTTGTAAGTTTCTGATCTTCTATATTATTATTATTTTTTAAAAAACTTAAGTTGACATTCGTAAAAACTATGTTTAATAAGTTTAAAGTATAATTTCCTTTATAATTTAACTTAAATAACTTTAAACCATAATATAATATAAAAATTTAATGTGTAACTATAATATTATATATTTAAAAATTTTCAGTTTTTAAAAAAGTGGAAATAATTACCATTCCATCAGCGCATTTTGTCCCTGCTGCAGCAGGATCACCTTTGGAAAGACACTCAAAACTTCCATTAGTTTGACACCATAATTGAGAACACGTTTCAGTTTTTAAACTTGTTTTCTATTTGAGATAAATGTTTTTTTTAAAACTATTGGCTTATTCATACTATTTATAAAAGTTTTAAGATAAAATTTATAAAAATAAATATGAGTATTTTTAAAATTATTTATGATTGTAAATATTTATCTTTCCTGACCAAATTTAATGTATTTTAGACCAAAATAATTCAAAAAAATAATTTAAGAAAAATATATTAACTAATCTTATCCTCAGCTGTCCAGATCAGCTTCCATTTATTTCACATCTAGTCATCAACCTTATTTTAACTTTGCTCTTACCCCTTATCCATGAGTCTCTAAATTTCAGAACCAAACATCAGTGCTTCATAGCAATAAAGCACTTGTCAATTTAGTGAATAACAATTTATTGACTAACAGTTTAATGGTAGATAATCTAGTTATTAGGGAGATAAAAAAAATGAAGAGTCTAGCAAAGCTCAATGTTGATTAGAGCTCACTCTCTTTTGTTGCCCATGATAAAAAAACTTATAACTATATTCCTAAGGATCAAGTTTGGATACATAATAAATGAACCTCACAACCGGGTCTAGAATTAAAATAATACTCCGGTACTCCATGCAAACAATGTTTTGACCATAGGAAGCGCCAATTAAGTTATCCATTATTTTTGAAGGTTTTTTTAATGTTAGAAAAAAAAAAGTAATTCTTTAATGAAAAGAATTCACTTGTTAAACTGAAAAATTTTAAAAAATTATAACATGCTCCTAATACTAATAACGAAACCAAGTTAGTGATCAACCTAAGCAAAATTACTTATTTCAACCAATGCATATGAATGATGTTATTGATAATTAAACCTGGTAGTAATCAGTCCAAGCAAAATCACAACTTTCAGCCAGTGGATATGAATGATGCAATTAATAATTATACCAATGAAATTAGAATGAATGTGAAGTTCTTTGAACTATGTTTATATCTTGTTTTTTAATGTTGATAATTGTGACAGTTTGATTATTTCCTTACAACACCATTTTAATTATATTTAAAAAAATACAAAAAATACACACACAGTGCTTTATTATGCTCTTTTATACCATTATTATACATAATTTTATAATACCTTTAGCCTTACACCCTTTCACTTTGAAGAATGTTTAAATTTTTAAGATGTTTTTCAAAAATATATAAAAAAGAATATCATATGTATATTATGAGCTTGATGTTTTTTGCATAAGCATAATCAACCCTATTTCAAACAACTATATGCTTATAGAAAGAAAAGCATGTAAACTTTCAACCCTATTTCAAAGAATTATATGCTTATAGAAAAAAAAAAGCATTTAAACTTTATACTAAAATTTTTTTCAATGTTTTCAATTTTTTTCATTACCATTTCGTCGCGCTGGTTTGACAAGGTTCTAACTGATCCCCGAGTAGTTTTGAGCAAATCAATGTTAAAAATTGTTATGTTCCTCCCATCAAAATTTATTAAAATTCATTGATAATATTTTTTACTCATGATAACGTAAGCATTTGCTATAAGTATTACTATTTTTTATTAAAAAATGTTTCACTCTTTATAGAAAAATGAATACCCCCAAAACGCAGTTAGAACCTTGTCATAGTGAAATAATCATATTCTCACTATGACAAGGTTCTAACTGCTGTTATAACGGTAGTTAGAAACATGTTAGTTACTTTGAAACTTTGTGACTGAAGCTGTTAGTTACTTTAAATTTTGTAACTGAAACAATAATATAATAAAAAGCTAATTTTCATAAATTAGAATATTGTTTCAGTCACAAAACAAGGTTACAACATTTTTTTTACTCATTTTTTATTTTTTTTATACTACATTTTTTTGGTACATTTTAAAACCATTACATTAAGTACAGGGTTAAAACCCTTAAAAGTTTTTCATGTTTATTTTATAGGTGAAGAACAACTCGATAGTATTCTCTGTCCTCGAGAGGCATAAACGGAAATGCAGCTTTAGTACCTTTTTTTTTTAAGTCTGCGAGTTCCTTTGTACAATTTTGAATCTTTGGTTTTACATTCAGAATAGTGGAAGTTGATGGACTTGTTGTTGCATTCTTTCTGTTAGGTTTTTCATTGAACTTGACATTTGCACAGTTCATAGGTTCATTGCGATTATGGCTAGATTTGAAATGTATAATATGAGATGTTTGAGTAAATTTTAGAACAGCAACGTTAGAAAAAGGAACTGACTTGTAATTAAACAGCTTCGCTGTTACTGCATAATCCTTGAAGTCATGTGATTTCATTTGAATGATACGATAAGGATTTTTTCTGTTAGCTTGTTTAAACATCCTTATCAATCCAATTATACTATAAAAACCAGTTTTCCTCATGAGCTTTTCGATTTCGCTATGAGCATGATCCACCTCTTGGACGCATGAATGACCTGGAACGGAATATTTCATAGTGATTGAGTTGATGTTAGGATTGTCTCTTAAAAAGTGTAACACAGCATTTGATAATATACTGTTCCGATTTTGAGAAACGCAGGAGTCAGACCAGGTAATTAAATCACTGAAGTCGTTTTCCTCTGCCACATCACTCAAAATTTTGCAAAAGACACTGGCAAGATCATTGTCGCTTCTTCCCGCCATTGATTCAGTCCATAATGCACAATACACTTTTTTGGTTGTTGAAAAATAAGCTGTCAAATTAAACACGCTAAGCTTTCTCAGATAAAAAAAGGGAACTAATTTCTGCATGCGGAGTCAAAATAACATTTTGAAGGTCAAAAAGTAAAACAGGACAATTTTTATCCTTTTTCTCTTCAGAACGTATATCTCTCATTTCTTTTTTAAAAAGTTGATATCTTTCAAAGTCTTCTCTCAATTTTTCAGATATAATATCAGTGTTTTCAGCAACTTTAAACTTCTCCCAAAGGTCACATCTATCCTTTTTGGGAATGTGAAAACTAAGATTGAATTCGGTGGAGAAAATATGGTAGTACATAGATTTTTTTACTGGCTCAATATTCTCGTTTATACATTTCTCTTTGTAAAGATTATACATTTTTGAAACATTAAGGTGTGACTCAAGGTATTCTCTATTGGTACTTACACGACAATAATGTGACTCAAGTGTTGGAAAAGATTTAATGTGATCCCTAGCTGAGTTGGCATCACTATGCGGTGTACTTTGGCATGCGGTGTACGTTGGCATCACTATGCGATGCCTTTCATGATTTTACCTCGTAGATCTTGTGCAGGAGTATTTGTTTTAATATCTTTGGTGTTGTGAGCTGTGTAAACTGGCTTTTGTGAAATGGACAGTGTAGTTAAGTAGAATGTTTTGCAAACACGGACTTTTTCACCTTTTACATGAAAAAAATACCTATAGGCGTACTTCCTTTTTGAAAAAACTTGTTTTTCAGCGTGGTCATCAGTTTCTTTATTTGCAGTACCACTATCATTGTTTTCCTCATGGTTTCTTTTTGGTCTAGCAGTGGTTGTGCGATCAGTCAAAGTAACAAAGAAATGCCTCTTTTCGGTAGCTGAATTTAAGGCATAAAATGATGAAAAAATATCAATTTGCTTATCTTCTGATATTTTCTTAGCACATTCGTACTTACAGTTTGCCAGACAGTTTTTTTTTTGTTTGAATAATCTTATTTGGTACTTGATTTCCTCTTCGACTTGTATAATTTTTACCAGCTTGATATGCCTTTTTTTTTTTATTACATCCCCAGGTTTCAGGTTTAGATATTTGTTTTCGGAATTTTTTCTTAAACGTTTGTTGAACTTGATCCCTAGAAGAGTATTATTACTTAGTCGATAATAGTATCTCTAGTATATAATCATATACTAATTAAATCATTCTTAAATGATTAAAATGGTTCACTTTGTATATAATAGTAGATTTTAATGTCGAAATCACTTTTTAGATGAAATTTTTATTAAAAAAACAAATCATAAATAAAAAAATATATATATTTAAGATTTAGTGGGTGATCAAGGGGGAACACTACATATTTGGCTTACTTGTTTGTCACTAATTCAGCATCATTTGTAGGCTGTACATTCATGTCTATCTCAGAACTTTTTTCAGTTTGTGCTACATAAATATTATTGGCATTGTTTCCAGAAGCTTCTTCAACAATATTTTGTTTAGAATCTTGTGCAGTTCTGGAACATTCTAGTGCAGTTCTGGAACATTCTAGTGCAGTTCTGGAACATTCTAGTGCAGTTCTGGTTAAATTAAAGCGCCTCTTCTTCCTGTTTAAATATTAAAAAGTAAAAATCTTTTTAAAAAACTTTTCAAAAGCTTATAAATTTAGCTATTTTAATATGTAAATGTATGACCAAAGTCACACAAAAAAGTTATATTAGGTTACTAACCGTGTACTTAATTCATAGCAGTCTTCACCGCTTTCACTAGTTGGAGCTACAAATTCGTCACTATCATAACTGCTTTCTTTATCAAATACTACTCTTTCCATTTTCTGTTGATATTTTACTTAAAACGAAAATAATAACTTTTCAAATTGTTTTTTTTTTTACTTTCAAATCATTTTTAAAATCTTTTTTTAACTACCCAGCCTGGTTTTTATTATTGATACAAAAATGTTTTATTACAAGTTGTTTAATTTTTAATATTACTGTTATATTTGATTTAACAATTTAAAACAAGTTACTTTGTAAAATCAACGTTCTAAAGTGCACATATATCGACTAACGTTGTAGATAAGTGAAGAAAAATGAACAAGTATTGACTTTTTGAGGTAGAAACTGCAAAATATAGTTAGATCGACTTACCGTAAAGGAATGGTGCGGCAAATTGTACTTGCATTGACTGTGAAAAGTTTGTAAATTTATTAATGCATAAACATCATTATTTTAAAAAAATATTTTAGCTCATAAATCCTCTTTTTATTTTGAATAATAATAGTTATTTCTATGCTAATCGAAACCAGAATTTTGTTTTTCAATGTTACAGGTGTCAATTTGAGTAAAGCTACAGAATGTTTCAAAAAAGATTTTTTTTAAATGTCAAATAATAGCTTTAATGATATTTTATTCTACATCGGTGTCAGAATTTTTTTATATGATTTTTTATCATAATAATTAGTTAATAAAAACCAGCAAGAGATTATGCAGTTATTGTTAGTTAGAACCTTGTCAAACTAAATATCATTTAACTAAAGTTGCAGATAGAACTTTGGCACATTAGCAGTTTGCTTGTTTTACACTATATCGCTGTAAATTTCAGTTTATTTTGTTCATCATGATTAAAATAGTCTAATAAAATGATAAAGTCGATTTTGGCAAAAATGTCAGTTAAAACCTTGTCAAACCAACGCGACGATTTAATACCCTACACCAACAGAAATTATAAAAAAAAATTTTTCTGTTTGTCCCAAAAATGTCACTATTTGTAAAATCAAAAATAATTCAAGATATTATCATTAAACATATGTTTACTTAAATTAAATTCAAATAAAAAAAAATAAAAACACCTTAAAATGAGTACAGTGCTCTGCCAAAGTTCCATAATGATGCTTGCACTGTTTATTAGCATCATAAATTTGTCCAGGTAACAAATGTAACAAATCTTTTTCATCCAACCAATTTTCAGATGAGCTTTTTATCCAGAGACATGAACTTTTGTATGAACTAAATGAAAATTAAAATCTGATTAAAAACAAAACAAAAAATAAAAACAATTTAAAAAATACTTAACTAACCTTTAAAAAATAATAACTATTCCTTAAATTAGTGCTAGGCCATCCCAAGGGGGGAATAGGGGTGTGTTTAACTGCCTTTAAAAAATTTATTTAAAAATTAGTTTGCAAAATATTTTTAGATATTAAAATATTTTGCAAATTAATCTGCAAATTTTTTTTTCCTGAGTCATAGTTGGCAAAAAACAGATACATTGCACCCCTTTAAGATCTCTTTGGGACCTGAATAAGTGAATGAAAAATTAAAATTATATTACAACATGATTAATAATATGTGTATTAATAATACCCTACACCAACAGAAATTATAAAAATTTTTTTTATTAAAACATTCTTATCAAAATAATCATGTATATCTACCATCAAACCTAATTTTCTATTTTTAAAAAAATTTCTTAATTCACCCTTGCATTCTTGTTTATTTTGTTTTATGCTTATTTGTAACCCCTCAACCTTCAGTCGATGTTTACACACTTCCTTGCATGTTCTATTTCAGTATAATGTCAGCAATTTCAATGATTAAAGAATTCCCTTGCTCCAAAAAAACAGGGATTGTATTACTGTTGCATTGGCAAAACCAGGAATGTCACAAACATTTTTATTTTGAGAAGGCTAAATACAATTTTATGTGTCAGACACGTTCTAAAGTCACAAAAATTTTTTAAAGAAGACAAATAAATGGTAGAAAATGAGACAGAAGATTTAATTTTCGAACCATTCAATGAGAGAGTCTTGTAACTTGATTCCCTTTTGATTTTTAGACAGGTTTAAAGGAATGTAAAGTGCAACAGGATACTGGCATTAATTATATCTCCAACTCTATTATATCTATAATTGACAAAAAGATAAAAAAGAAATGTTATTCATATCAGTATAATTTATTAATTGCATGAGACACCCTTGTAAAAACTTCAAAATTCTTGCAAAGCATTTTTTTCTCTATATTTAGCATCAGCAAAACTAGACTTAAAAGATGTCAGACGGAAGTCAGACAATGACTGGTGATAAAAGTTTCTATTTTCATAATGAAAGAGTAGTTTTTTTCAATGTATTTAAAAAGTCATTTAAAAAGTCAAATGAAAGTTACTGGTAATTTTTTTTGTTTTAATCACTTAAATATTAATTAAGTTATTTTAGCAAAATAACAAAATAACTTTTTTTAATTGTAGATGATTTTTTAGCAATAGTTATTTATAACATAGACATAAAATAATGGTCAACATAATTTTCTCTTGAAATAACTCTCAAAGATTCTAAGAGAGTTTACCTAAAAAGAGTTTACCTAAAAGATCTAAATCTAAAGACAAATCAAGAACTGATGAGTTAACAATTTAAATGTAAATAATTCTATAGAAAAAGATACAAACACAAAACACAATAAATTGCAATATATTAATTACAATAATTGCAATAAATAGCAGCAGACTAAATATAAAAATGCACCTTTATTGAGGCTGAGAGGAAATACATTACTTTTATTCATAAATAAAAATATTGAGCGTTTTTCTAAGAAAAAAGAGATTTTAATTTGAAACAAAACAACATAGTAAAAAATTAACTTACAATAAAAATTCAATCAATTGCTTCTTACTACAACTGGACCACCTAAAGGGTAGTTGAATAGGAACGGGCCATTTTGATACCATAATATGAGGTTGGTCAACTGAAGAAAACATACAGTTGTTGTCAAGGTTATCATGTGTCAAACCTAAACTAAAATCAATGTAATGCAATGTAATGCAATCAATACAATAATGAGTAAAAAATAAAATGGGACATTAAAAAAAAGACGATTTAAAAGCTTATAAATCTTATTTAATGCATAACGAAAAATACGCCCTTATTAAGAATATTCATAACACTTATAAAGATTTTGAAATAATAATCTTGTTGAAGTGATTTTGATAAATATATATATAAATATATTATATAAACAATTCAATTTATTATACACAAGCATATTTAGGACAATAAAGTTTAGTCGGCTGCTTACTTTTAGTTGGAAATAAAAACCTTAACTTCAAAACACAAACCTGACAAACAAGGCGCAGAAAAATAAGACTGTAAAGATCAAGCTTAGAACTTCTTGTTATATACACATTGTTTAGATTAACTCCAAAACAGCAGTTAGTTTTAATCAAAGAAAAAAACAAAAAAATAGTTTTTTTGTTATAGAACACAAAATAAATGCATTTATATAAATAAAAGATTTAATTGTCCAATTCAACTAATTTTTTTTATTTACTACACCAACAAAAATTTGTTTACCTATTTTTGTTGTTTTTATAGCTTATTATCAATAATAAGATATAATAACAACAATAATAGGTAAACAAACCAATTAATTTATTTTTTTTTGGTGTTTTTTTTTTATTTTGAGGTTTTTTTAATTGTTTTTTATCAATTTTTTTTTTAATTGATAACTTTACCAACAACTGAGTTTTGAAATTTGTTTTAACTTGATGCCAATCAAACTGAAACAAATTAAAACAAAATTCCAAAGTCTTAATTTAGTTTTAGTTAAGTAACCTTTTTTTTATTTTATTTTACAAAGTTTGAAAAAGTTTTTTTTTTTATGAAAAACAGTGGTAATTGTAGAATTGTTTGTTTTATTTAGAGCGAAAAAATATACTATTAGTTCAAAAAAGATATTTTTGATTGAATTGAAAATAAATTATTTTGTGATTTACAGCTCTTAACTATTTCTTTTTCAATTTTTAATTTTTGTCCACAAATATTAGATACTGGTCCAGATACATTAATTGACTGAGCTTGATTAAGATCACTAAATATTACTAAACCTGTTCCATTAATTATTTTAAAATACTTAATAGCACCTTCTCTGGTTCTTTTGTGTTCTCGTGTTTAAAAACATTTTTTATCTGAATAAAGTTTTAAATGTTGGAATATTTTTCAAAAGAAAAAATAGGCAAAAAATTAGATTTAAAAACTTTAAAACTGTTTGCAATAAAAAAATACTGTACTAAATACATGCATTTTTACTGCATCACTTGTACTTTGCATTAGAGGGCTGGCTTTTTTTTTTTTCATACTTCCTACTACAATTTTTTCATACTACAATTTTTTAATTTTCATACTTCCTGTTGCCCGGTAAAATTACCAAAATTTCCAAGAAAAAAAAGGTAAAAAAAAAATTTGTTCTAAAAATATTTCTAATCCTACTCATCTTGTGATTCCAATTGAATGTATTTTTCCTTTAATTGCACCAGAATTTTCAAGCACTTGTATGTTAGATCTGCCAAACTGCCAGCTAATTGCAGATTATTATGCACAAAAACAATGTTTTGAACTCATGCGTTTCAGATGGTTGACCTATTTCAGATTTATTTTTTTGCTAGAGTGTGTGTTTTCTTTAACGGCGTCAATAACATTATATAAACTTCTTTATCTTAGAGACCACTATGCAACAACAGTTCTTTATCTTAGAGACCACTATGCAACAACAGTTTAATTGTTTAAATCAAAACCAATCAAAACAAAACCAGTCAATAGGACTTAAAACCAATCCTTTAGACTACTTTATAAATATATTGACGCTTACTTCACTGAAAAGCTAGTAAGGACAACTTTAGAAAAAAAGACATTTTATTTGGTTACAGGCTAACACTACATAGGTTAGTTTGGATGCATAGCAAAATTAATTTGCTTTTTGCAATTTATAAATATTTGATCTTTTGACTTAAAAATTTTATCTGGCTATTTTCAGGGTTGAAGAATCCAAAATAAAAATATCAAAAAGCAAAAAAAAATTTATATTAACTAAATAAAAATAATTTAGGCAGCAGCTAGACTTAAATTGTTTTATTTTTTATAAATGGTATCTAACAAAAAAAACTTAAATTTTTTTCTTATTTATTAACTTTTAAATTTATCCAATTAATTATAATTTATTACTTATAAAACTTGAAAACTTGACATAATGGTTGTACAGTTGACACATTAAAATAATGATTTCAGATCATAAATCATTCAAAAATCAAAGCCCATATATTGAGAAGGAACTCAAAACATGTTGTAAGAGCCAATGCAAAACATACAAGTAATAGATTTTAGAATATACAAGTAATAGACTTAGAAATATACAAGTAACAGACTTAAAAATATATAAGTAATAGAATTAAAAACATACAAATAATAGACTTAAAAATAGTTGTTGAAATCAATTTGTTTTTACATAAATTTATGTGACAGTATTGCAAAAGATTAACTTACCTATGACCTAATTCATGAGCAATTGTATATGCTGTACTCAATCCTGTATCTTCAACTAATATACATTTGCGATTTCTAGTACAAGCTCCTTCATTATATGCAAAACCAATTGTTCCACAAGACTGATTTGATTTGCTACATATGTCTTTTCTTTAAAAGGAAGGTATTATTAAAAAAGTATTGTATTTTAATATTTAAAATAAAACTTTATTAACTATACCATTATTTTTTATATAACTATATCATTATAACTATAATCAACTCAGACAATCTGTATCCTAATAGAAATGTATCTATTCTTTTATAAATACAAACATGATCATTTAAATATATGTGTTCTTTAGCGCAACTCTCTCATTAAAAAAGAGAGAAACATGATAAAAATGGCAATATTTTGCAGTATGAAAAAATCCTTTAAAGAAAGAATGATTTAAAAATTTTACTTTTTGTAGCAACAAGTAAAACTTTTAAATCAATAAAAAAACTTATTTTGCTTTTGAAAAAGTGTTTATACAAAGTATTCAACTACTAAATTATTTGATGTCAAAATAAAAAATATTGTTAACAAGAAAATAAAACACCTTGTTAAAAGCACTATAACATCATGTAGGCTTTCATTGTTGGAATTTATTTCTTGGTTGTTCAACTGCCATTCACAAAAGCTTTGAAGAATCTTTTCACCATTATGATTGGTAGTAAAATTATACTAAAAATATAAACTACTTGAGTTTTTCACGACTTAATTTTTAGAAAATTCTAAAAGCAAAAGTTAATAATTCTGAAAAAAGTTAAAAAAATATAGAAAATAATTTAGTACTGAATCATTATGAAAAACTAGAATCCTGGAGACAATAATTTTTATTTCAATACCAAGGCTTGAATCACTGTAGATATCAGATACCTAAATTCATGTTAAAAAAATTTATAAAGTAAATTAAAAAAATATGTATTTATAAATATATATGTATATATATATATATATATATATATATATATATATATATATATATATATATATATATATATATATATATATATATATATATATATATATATATATATATATATATATATTTAAATACATTTAAAATATATATATATATATATATATATATATATATTTTTTAAATGTATTTTTAAAAGTTTTAAAACTTATGTATAAATTATTAATTAATAGATGTGTTTGATGATTGTTTTAACCATAGGGTAACTCCATGTCAACTGAGCCAGAAAATTTCAAAAATGTCATCATAAGTTTCAGATTTTTGCTGATTTTTATACAGTTGAGAGTACTTAGTAAAACAAGAAAACCTTAAAAATTTTAGCTTCTAGCTCCAAAAGGATCATGAAATATGTTCATTTTACTTATAACTGATCTTGGCCAGACCCCTCTTGTCCCTTCAGAAGTGCGACCTTTGTTTAAAGGTTCTAAGTCACATAGCTTTAAAGATATTTGATCTTTTGACTTGAAAATTTGTACCTGGCTATTTTCAGGGTTTAAGAATCCAATGAATTAATACGAAATATAAAAAAATATTTTTAAGTACCTATTATTATCAATTTAAATAAATTTAGGCAATTTTTTATATACCTGATTTTGATGCTTAAGAAAGCCATGTGGCCTTTATGATATAAAAAAAATTTGTATACATTATTCTATGTTTTATGATCTTTTAGAAAATATTTTTGATCTGCATGTATATGGATTTCCATATATGGATAACGGGGCAAAGGCCCCACTTTTTTGTAGCGGAATCTTGCCATACATTTTTCACTACCTCCCAGACTAGCTGGAGCGATGAAAATTTTGGTATTTATGTAGTGTCAATAAACATGCATTTTAAAATTAAAAAAGGGCCCAAGACACTAGAGGAGGGGGTTGGAGGGATGTGCCCCACTATTTTGACTGGAATCTTGAGATTCTGGAGCTGGAGCTTTGAAACTTTCAGCATTTGTGTAGTCCTGATAAACATGCATTAAAATTGTTTCAGGTCAGATGACCAGAAGGTCCATGGGGCTGGGGCACCGGGAACCATATCCCACTTATTTTCTCAAAAAAATATATTTTTTTTAAACACATAAATGTGCCTTAAATTTAAGATAACTTTAAAAATATTGTATTCAAAATTTTTTTTGCTTTATACTTCTGTTTTACTTCATTATTTACAAAATAAAATACAAAAAAAAGAAATTGTCAAGATAATATTAAGATTAGCTTAGACGCATCAATGGTCAAAGTATACAATCCATTTGTTGTTACAGGTGCATCAATTATATGTTATGTTGGTAATTGGAACCCAACACTCATCTACTCTAGATGGCCAGAAAAGTTTATTAAAAGGACTATGCGGATGCATAAACGTTCCATAACATCTTGCTCTATATTATCAATTTCATTGATCAAACCAATCCAATCAAATGCATCATATTTACACATAATGAATTCACCAAATTTCAAGGCATCAATGTTAATTGATGTTAAATCTTTGTAAGTACATTTTATTTGTATAGCATTGTTCAAGAGTATTGCTTTTTGATGGAGGATAAATACACAAACAGAATGAGTGCCTGATGCTCCAACAGTTATACATCATTATGGTCTAAAACTGCAAAACTTAGAAAATTCAATAACTTCTTGAGGATATTTAGTTTTAAGAGAAACATAAAGTTCTTTAAAATTGCATAAAATAAGGCGCTTTTGCATGTGTTGTTTTCTACCAATACTTATGTAATCTTTTTTACCAGGCATTTGTCTAGTAAATTCTTCATCATGGTATTCATTGTTGACTCTATTTAATGTTATTTCTGAAAATTGTTTTTCTTTCTTAGTGCCTGGAATTGAAAAAATCCTACTTATTTTCTTTAGTTTGCGAGCTTCTTTAATTTGGTATATAGTGACATTGAAATATCTTGCAGCAAAATTTCTTGACCAAGACTCGGGTGTAAATGTTAATAACTGAATTTTAGTTTTTTGGTCAGAAACAATTAACTTTTCTTTTTTTCTGCTGTTAGTTTGTCTAGGTCTTCACATTTACTTTTGTCAATAATTTTCATATGAAGAATTTTATGTTTCAGTTCTTCTTCCCTAACATTATATACTTTTGAAATATGCTCTTCATACTTTGACATTGTTTTTATAACTTTTCTTTTAGCAACAAATAACCGTTGATGCTTTGGAATGCCATGAAGTTTTATGGGGGATACACCTATTGTTTCCAAACTAACATTTAATGCCTCTCGTGACTTTTCAGAAGTAGCGCATGAAATAAATTCCTCAAATTCACAATTATCTTGTTCATGAAATTTACTAATTATAGCATCAAAGCAGCTCTGACAAAGTTGATATCCAGGCACAACATTTAGAAAATTAATTCTCAATTGTTTTGCTATGTCTTATGTTATTACATGACTCCCTGAAATGAAAAGAACAATTTGATTTTAGTAATTACCTATGAATATGAAAATTATTTGTACTTATTTCAATATATAATGCATAACCAGATTAGCTTTTTTTCAAACCTTTATAACCTAGTAGATTTTAATTTCATTATTCAAAAAAGATTTTAAAATAATTTTTTATCAACAATATTTACCTTTGATTGCTTTTCTTTTTGATTTATGCTTGTAATAAATTACAACATTTTGTGTGCTTCTTTTCAAAGTGTGTACCAAAAATCTTTTCATGATGATGGCAATCATGATGGCAGATCAAATTTTATCTTTTATTCAAATGTTATCATCTTTTATCTCCAAATAAAATCTTCTCTGGCATCTTCTCTATAGCAATCAAATTTCTTTAAATCAATCTTTCTAAAATAACTTAGTTTATGACAAGTATCTTTTAACTCTTTTCCAAAATCACATGAATCCATTCTTACTATAACACTAAAAACATTTTGAGATTAATTTAAAAATGAGAAACCAATAGTAATTAATTTAATGAAAGCAACTTAAGCAATCACCATTGTAATACAAAACTAAACAGTGATTGATTTTTATTTATCTTACTTTAACAAAAAGAAAATTTCCTTTTCACAAAGTTTAATTATAATCAATTTGTTAATGTTAAAAATGTTAACGATGACTTTAATTGGTAACAAATTTCTTCTATACTAGTGTAATGACAGAATGTTTTTTGTTACTGTGAATAGTTCTTTTTTAATAAAAGAACTTGCTGTTAACATTTTAAAGTTAGCAATATCAAATAAAAAAATGATTTTGAAAAGGTGATAAATTTTTTTTTTATTGATGTAATGTTTTTTTTCTGTTGGAAGTTAATTAAACAACTTGATGTTACCATTTTAGCATTAAAATATATTAATCTATTTTAATTAAAACTTTAAATTATACAAAATAAAATTCTGTTAAAATCATTATTCTTATAAACATTAACTTTCTTAAAACATTTTATGAAAAGATCATTGAACATAGAATGATCAAAAACCAAATAAAACAAATATAAATCACAAAAATTTGTAAAGCAATGTTATCAAAGATATGTTTAACGTTGTTAAAAATGAAAATCTAAAAAACATTTTAAAGACAATAGTTTCAGAGTTATCTTAAATGTGATAAAAAAATTTTTTTTTTTGAGAAAATAAGCCCCATGGACCTTCTGGTCGCCTGACCTGAAACAATTTTAATACATGTTCATCAGGAGTACACAAATGCTGAAAAATTCAAAGCTCCAGCTTGTCTGGAAGATACTAAAAATCCATCTCAAGATTCCAGTCAAAAAAGTGGGGCACATCCCTTTAACCCCCTCCCCTAGTGTTTTGGGCCCTTTTTTAATTTTAAAATGCACGTTTATTGACACTACATAAATACCAAAATTTTTATCGCTCCAGTTAGTCTGGAAGGTAATGAAAAATGTATGGCAAGATAATAGTGTAACGGGGCACAGGCCCCAAAATAGTGTGCCCCGTTATCCATATATGGAAATTCATATACTTGCAGAACAAAATTCTTATGTTTTCTGAAAGATCATTAAATAATAAATGTGTACATTTTTTTTTTATATCATCAAGGCCACATGGCTTTCTTAAGCGTCAAAATCAGGTATATAAAACATTGCCTAAATTTATTTAAACTGATAATTACGGGTACTTTTTTTAGATTTCTGATTATTTCATTGGATTCTTTAAATTTTTAAGACAAAAGATCAAATATCTTTAAAGCTATGTGACTTGGAACCTTTAAACAAAGGTCACACTTCTGAGGGGACAAAAGAGGCCTGGCCAAGATCAGTTAAAAGTAAAATGAATATATTTCAGGATCCTCTTGGAGCTAGAAGCTAAAATTTTTAAGGATTTCTTGTTTTACTAAGTACTCTCAACTGTATAAAAGTCAGCAAAATCTGAAATGTATAGTGACATGGCCTGGATACGGAGTTACCCCATATAGAGATCATCAGATGTATATATTTGTATACATGTATGTATGTATGTATGTATGTATGTATGTATGTATGTATGTATGTATGTATGTATGTATGTATGTATATATATATATATATGTATATATATATATATATATATATATATATATATATATATATATATATATATATATATATATATATATATATATATATATATGTGTATATATATATATATATATATATATATATATATATATATATATATATATATATATATATATATATATATATATATATGTATATATATATATGTATATACACACATATATCAGATTTTTTTTATTTTGAAAAAATTTTGATATATATATATATATATATATATATCAAAATTTTTTTTTGATATATATATATATATATATATAGATAAAAAAATTGATTCTTACAAAATATTTACAATAAAAACTATTACTAGCTCTTTTTTTTTCTAAATATCAGTTGTTCATAAATATCAGCTGACTACAAGTTTATAAATATCAGATAACTGTGAGTTCACAAACATCAGTTAATAGTCATTACTGATTTAAAAGCAAGTAGATAAACACTATCTCTGGGTGAATGTACATAAGAGCAATACTGTTTAAGTCATCAACCAGTCAAATGCTTTTGATAATGTAAAATAATTTTATAACTAATATCAAGCAAGTTTGGAAGTCCAGAAAATTCTTTAATTCAAATCATACACTTAATAGTTTTAATTACTAATGCAGTTACTAACACAGTAGTTTCTTTGTTAAGTAAACTCAAAAACAATACTCCTTGAGATAATTGTGTATGGCTCCATCATTAATTTTTTATTCACCTTAGTGTCCAGTAGATAAATGCAAATAACATCACAACAATTTTTGCTTCTCTATGTTTTCATTTTTTGTTCTTATATAAGAACAAAAAATGAAAACATAGAGAAGCAAAAATTGTACTTTCCATCTTTTACATTTTTTGTCCACTTTTTCAAGTTAGTAATTTTTAACAGATCTTTTTATGCCTTTTTAATCATTTAAAAATTTTAAAACGTTCTACTTTAATTCTAAACTTTACAATGTTTTTAATCTCAAAAACCATATTAATCAGACTGTTATGAGTTTTATTAACTGATCTTTTATATAAAAAAAAAAAAATTGAAATGTTAAAATATCTTACACTTTGAAATTAAATGATATTAAATTAAAATGTAATAATCTACATTAAAGAAATTTTTTATCCTTTCCAAATAATATACATGTCAATGTATATTATTTGAAAGGGCTTTGATTGAACAAATAATTAAAATTCAACAATTCTACAAAAAAATATTATATTTTTTTGTAGAATTATTAAATTTTAGACCACCATTTTCATTATCCAAAAATGCACATTTTATTGTTTTGCAAATTTAATTGCATATTTTATTGCTTCGAAATCAAGAGATTGATTTGATATCAATCGATCAAATCAAATCAAAGTTTGATCAAATCAAAGTTTGATAATCTGCTCTAAGCATAATTGCACATCACAACATGTCCATAGCATATTATCTCTGACCAAACCAAACAAACATTTTAAATATTTAAAAAAACAAAGAAAAAATGAATAAAAAAGGCTAGGGGTTCTTTAAGAAAAAACATTAAACTGTTTTTAGTTTGCGTACCAAATAATAACATATCTAACCATCAGAACAGTTTTATAATAGATAACAAGGAAGTATACATTAAAAGTTAAAACCTAAACTTAAACATAAAGCAAAGAATAAGCTAAAACACATATATTGCTCCCCCCTGACAACTTCCTGACCTTGTGCCCACCCCAGGTAAAAAAAAATAAAAATAGAATTAATGTTAATAAATTTCAGGAAGATCTTTTAAACAGATTGACCAATTATTTTGAAATTCAGAAAGAAAAATTATATGTTTATTGCTACATTGATTAAATGAGTGATTGTAATTCACCTATTAATCTGAATTTGGCTTAGAACCAGAGGTCATTGTAGAGTGAAAAGGACAACCATATCTAATAAAACCTTCCAAATAATCATATATTCTGACTGAGAAAATTAAAATTAACTGTGTTCATTGTTGAGAAGTATTTCACCAATGGTTAGCATAAAAATTTAAGATTCTGTAAATGGTAAAAAATGTTTTTTTTTTTTACCATTTACAGAATCTTAAATTTTTATGCTAACTTTTATTTTTAACTTTTATTAACAGTTTTTAAATTAATAATTAGCATAAGCTATATTTGTTTTTGCATTAATTATTTGGAACATTAATATAGCAATCATTTGGTTTATAAATCAAATTAAAAATATAGTAAAAAGTTTAAAAAAAATATCAAGTCTGAATTAAATTTAAAAAAAAAAATTAATACAATTTTTGTATTGAACAAAATGTATAAAGATTTCTTTAAAAACACCAACATAAAACAGTACAAATATTTACCGTACCATTTTCATTATGGTCATAATGTAGGTTTTTATAGAACTATTTCCATGAAATTCAATAACATATTTATCAACAACTACAAAAACTTCAACAACTGGCTGAGAGATGTGAAGATGACTTGTTTCTTTTTTACTTCCCGATAAAACCTCTTGATCATTTTGCAAATCTTCTATAAAAACATCGACATCTACAAAAACAAAATTAACAAATAAAATCACTTATTTTGGGGGATTTTAATATTATGGTTGATCAATAAACTATGGTTGGAAGTTATTTTAATTTTACTGTTGTTTTTCTTTTAAGGAATTATTCTGCCCTATGTTGATTAATGTTTTATATACAATTCTGTCTTGCTAATCAAGAATTCTAAGTGCAGAAAGGTAAACTTTTAAATTAAGTATAACGTGTAAATATGATATTATGTTCGTTATGACTTATCCATTATAAGGTTTTCTTGAATTTTCAGGTACAAATCAATCAAGTACAAAATCTTATATAGAATCATATTCTACACCTGGCTAAAAATTAAATTTTTGCACTGAGGATGTTTTTAATTGGTAGGGAAGAAATGTATGTAATCAAACTGAAAATTAAAATTAGTTTTGAAAGTGAGAAATGAGAATATATCTATTTTTGTTCAATCAAAACTAAATCAAAATGGGGATCATACTTCACCAATAGTCTATCATGGAAAATGTAATTTTCTAAGAATCATATTCTGATTTCTCATTTTCAAAACTATACTGATTCTAATTTTCAGCTTGATCACGTAAATATTTCTGTCCTGCCAATTAAGAACACCCTGAGTGTTCTTATTTTACAGACAAAGAGCATTATACTTATGATTTGGTTCAAAATTGTGACAATTGAGGCGTTTTTTTAAAAGATTATTATATATAATTAAAAAATACATTTATCTTTTTTACATTTCATATTAATTAAATATATTTGGATGTTAGAAATTACTAATTTTGGAAATTTTCATTATAAAAAAAAATTACCAATAGTTAAAACCAAAAATTATTTATTTATGATAATGAAATATTTAATAATAGTTCAAAAATACAAGTTTTTATTTAGAAATCTGTCTGTAACAAACCTGAGACAATTTTTGTCTCAGATTTGTTACAGACAGGTTTCATAATGAAAACTTGTATTTTAGGAATATTACATATTTTTCACCCACCCATGCTTATTAAGAACTCTTTCCCTTCTCGTTTTTAAATTTTACTTGGTATTAACAAAATCAAACAAACAAAAAATCAGAAAAAGACTTCAAAAATCGTCGAACTTTAAAAAATTTCATAAATTTTGATTTATCAAAATTTAGGTTTTGGTTTATTTCTCACCAGTGGCGTCGCTAGGGAAGGTGCATGGGATGCGGGTCGCATCGGTTGACACTATCACCACCTGACACTGAGGGGTGACACCAAAAAAATTTTTTCGTCTTTTATTCAAGATTAAAAGATTGTATTTTGCACGCCCCAACTTTTGTTTTAAAGGATTTTTTTTTTAGAAATTCGAAACACGTGTTGTCGACCCTGTTAGTGAAAGTCTTGCGGGTGACACCAAAATAGTTTAACGCATTGGGTGGCACCACCCCTGGCGACGCCACTGTTTCTCACTTAATTAAAACTTAAGTGAGCATATTAAATCCTTTTAAATTATATTAAAACATGCGCAGTTGACCGCAAGTCGCACTAGAATTATCGTGTTCGAAAAAAAATCCCATACACCCTTTTATTAAGACTCCGTTCTTTATTTGATTTGGACTAAAATTCCTACACCCTTACTTTTATTTCCCCCTCCTTTTCAATTTTATTAAGCACCCGAGAGTAAAGTTAATGGTTTTTTTTTAAGATAATTGAGATATAAGTTTTAGGAACACAACAACAATATGTACTCGGTCATTGTAACAAAGTGTTAGGTAAATAAGGAAGGGATGAGTTTTGCAAAAGTGCCTTCATTGTCTTCATTCCAACCCACATATTATATTTATTTCTATTTTGCAAATAAAATTAATTGTTAGAATAAATTTCTCCTGCTCATAAACTATTTTGACGCTCATATTTGTTTTATGCTATTATGTGAAATAGACTGATCAAAACTATTTGTTTTTATGTTATTGAATTTAGTTTTTATTAAACCACAGAGTCAAAAATTTATGAAGTAAAGAAACAATTTATCTCTTATCTAAATATCTTATCTCAACAAGTTATCTCTTAATATTGATAAAACAAAATGGATTCTTTTCCATCCTCTCATCAAAAAACCTAAACTGCCAATTAACATGCCTTATCTTGTTATTGACAATATACAAATTAAACAAGTAACAGTAACCAACTTTCTAGGTGTTTGTATAGATGAAAATCTTACAAAAAATCACATTAAAAATTTATCAAGTAAAATTTCAAAAAGTATCGGAATTTTGTACAAAGCAAAAAATGTTTTAAATAAACATACTTTTATACAATTATATCACTCATTTATTCATTGTCACATAAACTATACAAACATTGTTTGAGGTAGTACAAATAAAAATAAACTTAAAGCTCTTTAATGTCAGCAGAAGCATGAAGCACGTCTTATATATTTTAAAGACCGTTATACTCATGACCGTTATACCTTTATTATTTGAAATGAAAGTTTTTAATATATATGAGCTTAATGTTTTTAATATTCTTTGTTTTATGTTTAAATGTAAAACTAATTCATCCCCGATCTCTTTCCATAATTTGTATTCATCAAAAGATAAAAATAAATACATTTTACGCAATGATAATTTTATTGAGCAGCACATATTTCAAACAAATCTTTTTAAATTTTGTATTGATTATCGCGAACCATTCTTATGGATTAAAATAGTTTTAAAAAATTTTACTGAGGATTTTATTCATCAAAGTAACTAATTTTCTTTTAAATGAAAGCTTAAAGAACTCATTTTTAGAATCGAAGATTTAACAATATACTTTTGATATTTTTTTAGTGATCTTCTTTTTTACCCTCTATTTAAACATGAATTTATAAAAATTATATATGTAATATTGTATCTTGTATTTGTAACGGAATACTTTAAGTTTCTTACTTCGTTACTTATATTTTTATTTTGTAAATATCTTTTAAATTTTTACACGAACATTTCTTAGCGGTACTCGACGACAAGACCGTATGGTCTTCTACGAGTCCCCGCGTTCTTTTATTATTTAAAACGATCATTATATATATATATATATATATATATATATATATATATATATATATATATATATATATATATATATATATATATATATATATATATATATATATATATATATATGTATATATTTATTATTATTTATTTGTATTTTAAATATTGTAACAAAAGCTTATTTAAAAATAAGAAAAAAAAAAAAAAAAAAACAATGAAGAGTCCCACTGCCTTAGGGCTCTTGCTTGATTAAAGGCTAGAGATGGTGTTATGATTAAAATACTCATCTTGGGCAGATGTTAAACACATCCAGCTAGTGTCCTATAAAAGACCTCCTAGGCAAAGACAAAGGGGTAAACAGATTATATCAGTTAACCAGCTTCGCACCTTATTATAAATATCATCTATTAGGCTGGAATAGATGTATTTATAAATACATAGGTTCTAGTTTAGGATGTCGAATGCTTGATCTTCTTGACTCAATGCATGGATTTTTCTTGTGTCTCTGTTTTTATTACTAGGCAACTTATTCTATTATCTTCTAATGAGGGTACAGATCTAAAACTTAGTTTTAATGGTTCTGAGGCCGGCTAGTAGTCAGATTTCCCAAACTCTGTAGTAGCTCTCAGAGAAGCTGATACCATCAGCAGCTGTAAAATATCAGAGTACTTGAAGTACCATGTTGCGCATAGATGGTGTCCATACTCGTAGTTTTAGTGTGCATTGTCGAAGCCACATTTGGAGCACTTTGTTACGGCTTTGAGTTTATTAATAGTAATAAGACAATTGCTAGGGCAATTAAATAGGGTACTGAGCACTATCTGTGCTTTCAGTCATGTTCTTAAACAAATTTAAAAAGGGCTAGAGAACCAAAAACTACGAAAAACAAAAAATCCATCACCAAGTTCTCTAAAACTATCATTCACTAATATTTATTGAAATTTTCAAAGAAACTTTTTTCTGTTAAGTCTTATCTTTCGCAAAGTTTACAAGACCTACTTGCTACTTGTGAAACTAATTTGAGTTTGGCTGTCAGGCGTTAAGGCCACAACTTTTGCCTTTCTAAATCTCAAACTCAAATAGTCAAGTTTCTAAATCGTTTTCCAGACAACCCAAATCATTTACCTTCTCTACTCGACTTATCTAATGTCTCTCATCCAAATCAGCGCTCAGTCTCTCAACATTCACCCTTAGGTGCTTCTGATCACAATTTGATCTCTCTAAATCTATTATTTTCTATTATTAGAATCTCCCTATCATCGTACATCATACAGCTACCTTAAAGTTGACTGGGACTCAATCCGTGATCTTCTTCGTAATGGTCCTTGGGTAGAAATCTGTCATCTTCTTGTTGACAAATGTGTTTCTAACATAACTTTGTGGATTCAGGCTGGCATGGAATCTTTTATTCTCTCTCAATAAATCCAAGCCAAGTCTCACTCTTCTCCATCGTTTTCCTCGCATTGTGCTGCTGCAATTTGCAATAGTAACCATTATTTTCATATATATCAGCCAAACAATTCTCCAGAAATTAGACATCTGTTTAATATCGGTAGGAACCATTGTAAAAAGGCTTTGTCTAATGCCAAACCCAGTTTTTCTCAGGTTACGAAATCTCGTATTTCACTTCATCTATCAGCAAAACAATTCTCCAAAAATTAGACATCTGTTTACTATCGGTAGGAATCATTGTAAAAAGGTTTTGTCTAATGCTATCAGCAAAACAATTCTCCAAAAATTAGACATCTGTTTACTATCGGTAGGAATCATTGTAAAAAGGTTTTGCCTAATGCGATATCATTGTAAAAAAGGTTTTGTCTAATCCGATAGTAAACAGGTGTCTAATTTTTGAAGAATTGTTTTGCTGATAGATGAGGTGAAATACGAGATTTCGTAACCTGAGAAAAGCTGGGTTTGGTCAAACCCAGCTTTTCTCAGGTTACAAAATCTTGTATTTCACCTCATAAATTATGCTCTTATGACTTCTGAAGAATTTTTAACAGCACCTGTAACAAGAGAAAATCTGTTATTCCACCTCCCTTGTTCAGATTTTGTCAGCTCACCTAAAGACAAAGCTAAAATGTTTGCTAAGAACTTTCCATCAATATCATCTCTAGATTTCACTAGTCGCATTCTACCTGATGTAGCCAAAAAACAAGTTAATCCATTGCCTGACCTTGATAAACTTTGGCATGCTGGTTTTCTCCATAAGCTCTCTTCCTATTGTGTATTAGACAACATCTTTAAAATTATTGAATCTTTCAATACCAATAACAATATAAAAGTTGTTCTCAGCACTCTACTTTATATCCTGTAACTTCAGGGGTTCCTCAAGGTTCTATCTAGGCCTTCTACTCTTTTAATATACATTAATAATCTTTTAGAAACTCACACATCTAAACTGGCATTGTTCGATGATGATACTATTTTTTCGATGATGATACTATAAATGATACCATTTTTACTTGTTTTGATAAAAAGCAAACACTCTCTGATTGCATGGAGGGAGCATTTAAGCTTGAGAAGCATCTCATTTCTGAAACAGCATGGGGATCACAGTGGCTGTTGAACTTTAACTCAGAAAAATTCAATCTTTTTGGTTATTCGTTATTGCAATAATCTAGATCTTTCTATATTTATGAGCACTTGTCTGTTCTTCCAGTTAAAGACCTATAGCAACAGCTGATTGCAATATTTTAAAAATTTTTGTTTATCCAATCAATTAAAAAGATTTCTTTATCAGTATCGGAAACACTTTTATCCCTTCTAATATTAGAGAAAATACTAAATTATACCTTTTAGAAAATGCTAATAAAAAAGTACTCCTTCATGCTAATTATTGTTTCGTTCTAAAAAAATCTCTTTAGTACTTGGGAGAAAGAGATTAGAGTTTGATTCTTAGAAATTAGAAATTATTGATTTTGTATATTAGGGAAATGATGGGCGATAATGAGACACTTAAGCACCAGTTTATCTAATACGGCTCATGTAAAAAGTTTTGAAAAGAGAACAAGATATTTAAAGTTTTCTAACATCATACATATCAACATATTATCTGAAAAAATATGAGTTTTAAAACTCTAATGGTTAGGTCTCTAGAGATCAATTATTGATAAAACCTACACTGTCTCATTTTACGAAATAATTTGAGGCAAAATGAGACAGACTATTTTTAAGAATTTGTCTAAGTTAAACAAAGCAGATTTTAAAAAAGATTAGGAATATAAATTGTTTTTATAATAAAATAAATTCTACAACTCTATTTTATAAATTAAGGACACTGCCACCAGTTATATAAATCACATGGCTGCAACTTAGGCGAGGTATGTAGTGGTGACGTTATATTTACTATTCTATTTTTTAAACAAAATCTAATAAATTAATACTCTTTGTATAAATTTTGTGCCCATTTAAAAGTAAACGAATCATATTTTTAGTAATTCTTGTTTTTTTTTGCAAAATGTTTTATTGTCTATATGGAAAGGTCTATATATTATTATGTATGCTAATAATATACAGTATATTTTGTTTATAATTTCCTAGATAACCTATAATTTCATATAAAAACTTTAAATGAAAAAAAAACTATACATTTTTCAAGAACAAACACAAAAAATTGCTTTTTTTTTCCAGCTGTTAAATTATCTAGCGGAAAACAATCTGGTAAATGACAATGAGTATAGCTTTCAACGTAAACCATCTGCAAAACTAGTTGTAATATTTTCAGATAATATTAAAAAAAAAAGTCAATGAAGGTAAAATAGTTTTATTTCAATAGCAGTATTGTTAATAACATTTTTTTTTGGCTTGAGTAAAGGATTTTGCATCACGGATTACTAATCAATAAACTTAGCAATTATGGTGTTCGAAGAAGAAGCTCTGCTGGCTTTAAAGATTACCTATTTAACAGAATCAAACCATTCATATCACTAAGTAAATTTATTTAAACTTATTTCAAATCAACAAAAAAAAAAATGTTTACTGTTTTTTTTTTTATGTTATATTAGATTAAAAAGCCAATTCAATTTTACACAAAATTGGGTAATAAATTTAAAGCTTATTTATATTATGAAAATAGCTAAATTTTTACTCTAATAATAACTGATGAATATAAATACAAAAATAGACTATAAAATACATTATAGACAATCAAAAAAATAAATAAAATAAAAATTTTAATGTTTTGTAGCATTTCTAGAACTTTTTTTTGCTAGGTAGTACAAAAAAAAAAAAAAAAAAAAACAAGATGACGTACATCAAACGCAGCATTATAGTTCTCCATCCCACTAAAAGTAGCAAAAAATGAATTAGCTTAACTTATTAATCATGCAAGGTATGAACTATGGTTGCCATCAGTGCAGGTAGATTTTGTATACAAGCAACCATTTTTTTATAAAATATTGTGGAACAGCTTTCATTAAGAAAGTTTCTTGTCGCCTTTTTTACCGATGCTATTATCATGGTTAAAGTAGCATCACACTATAGATTTTTTCACTCAAAAGCTACTAGTTTACTTTACTTTGTTGTTTAGAAAGTTGGAGTTCGGCCTAAAAATTCGAAAATAAGTTCAGCCAAACACCTCTAATTTTATAATAAGAACTAATAATCTAAACAAATTTATTTAAAACTTTTTTTTTTAAATTTAATTGACTCAATTGCCGCTTCGCGAAAAACAAAAAAAAGCAACATTTTTGCTAAAGCAAAATTATAGCATTAAAAGTAGAAGAATTTAGCAGTAGTCAGTTTGTGTTATTTGTAAATCTTTTTTTTATTAAATAACATGAAGCTTCCCGGTGTTTAGAAGTTTCTAACGTCATAAATTACGTTTTCCCAACTATAGACATTAATAAAAAACATTAATAATATATAGACATTATATACAACTACAGACATTAGTAATAATATATATGTAGAAGATTTTAGCTTATATGTAAGAAAAAATGTGATACTTTTTTTTCAGTAAAAATTGTTTGTATGAATGCTTACTTAAAATATTACTTAAAATATTACTTTACCTTGATGGTTTCCATCAAACACTGAAATAAGATGCGCCGATAGAACGATAATAAATAATGAAGTACTTAAAAAGCAAATATTCTGTCTCATTTTTAAATCTTTGTAATCGTTTAAAATTTTAAACTTTATAAGTTTTTGTTGTTTGTTACTTTGTTTTCTTTTCTCGACATTTGGTGCCACGTTGACATGTTTAAAAAAAGTTTTTTTTTCTCTTGTAGCTTTTCTTTATATGAGTTCTATTTGATAAACCTTATGTTATTAGTTTTTCTTCAATTTATTTTTAAAAATATTTTGCTTTGTTTTTTTGTATAAGCTATGTTATAGTAAAGAGCTATATTATATTTCCTTTAGTGACAATTAAATGTCAATATTATTATTGTTCATTTGTTTATAATGGAAAAAATATGTTTGCGGATACAACTTTACTTATAGCTAAGAGTAAAAAAACCTTGAAGCTGAAAAAAAAAATTATATAAAAATACATGTATAAAAAAAAATTTTCTTAAAAAAAATAACTGCTAAACATTCTTTCCTTTAATTTTATTTCATCATTAACTAAATGTGATATTTTACAAAAAAAGTAGTTATTTTATAGAATTTTTTGTGTGTTTTCGATCAAAAAACTTATTAACTTAAACATTTAAAATTTACTTTTCCATCTTCTACTACTGTATGTAAATCTTCTTCTACTGAATGTACATCTTATTTTATTGTTTATACAGTAGTTGTCTAACGATTTGTATGCGAGTATTGTTCTTTAGTTTTGATATTTTTCATTTTCTTTAAAGTATTTCAGCTTTAACGGAAGGATTTAAACGATTGTATTTTAAGTTCGTTTTATTTCGATTTTGGTGAGCAGTTGCAAGTTACTTTGCTCGGATTAGGTTTTTAATATTTGAGGTAACTCTGGGATCATACTTTTTCCTAGTTCCATTAATATTGGAGATAAAATATTTGCAAGCAGTATAGTAGTTAGAAACTAATAGATTAAACATTTGATACGTAGTTTTATGTAGAAAAAGGAATATCCAAATTGGTTTCTTTCTAAGATATTATCAAGAGACAAGTTTGTAATAAAATTATTGTTAAAGGTGAATAAATAATAAATAAAACATTTTAATTGGGAGTCGTAAGTTGACTGGAAAGTAGAAAATAAGTGTTGAGCAAAGATCCTATTTTGGTGCAAAGCTCGCAATCGGTTGAGTTATTTGGTTTGAACTAGTTAATACCATCATTAAAGAACTTTATATTAGGGAGGGAGGTTAAAGTCACTGATAGTAGAACAATGATCCTAGAACTTGCTAAATAAAAAATAAGCTAATTTAAAGGATTCAGCAACATGGTTTATTAAATTAGAATTGAGATCACGAATTTTGAATTTATAAAGGCTGAATTTTTTAAAGTTATTATTTATGAGGCATGTGCCTCGTGAAATAATAACGTTAAAAATTTTAGAAATAACAAAATTTTAGAAAATTTTAGGAATAATAACTTGAAGTTAAAAATTTTAGAAATAATAACTCGTACTCAACCTCCACCTTCAATTACGAATCCTGTTGTAACTTTAACTCAAATAATTTAAACTTAAAATCTCTGGTTCCGACTCCGTTATTTTTATCACTACTACTACTACTACTACTACTACTACTACTACTACTACTACTACTACTACTACTACTACTACTACTACTACTACTACTACTACTACTACTACTACTACTACTACTACTACTACTACTACTACTACTACTACTACTACTACTACTACTACTACTACTACTACTACTACTACTACTACTACTACTACTACTACTACTACTACTACTACTACTACTCAGTGCCGTCTTTACCTATGGTCATCACGGGTATATGTCAGGAGGCCAACGCAAAAGTTGAGGCTATTTTACAATTGATGACCATTTTATTTTAGAGGCCATTTTATTATTCAGGACCATTTTTTATTTTATAAAAGTTATCTTAAGTCAAAGATATGTTACAATTATCATTTAATTGCAAAAAACAACCTGATTTATTTACATTGATTGGTTTTAAAAAAAGCGCACGATTTCTAAATTTCGTTCGTACGTAAAGTTTTAAAATATGAATATTGTTTAAAATATGAAATATTGCATTGATTGCAATAGCGCAAAATGTTACATTGATTGCAATAGTGCAAACTATAGTATCGATTGCAATAGTGCAGGTTTTAAATATTGCAAGTGATTGCAAGAATATGTGAACAAATGTTTTTATTTTATTTTAACTTTTTATATTTGTTTTTAGAATGTGAAATTTAATAGAATTTTTAAATCATTGTTCTACTGCATTTTAATTAATGTTATAATGTTAGACTCTATGTTATAATACTTTGAAAAAACATGACAAATAAGGCTGTTTTAAAGTTGCTTATTGGATATAACCAAATCTGTAAAATGTATGTTTATCGCAAAGGTGAGGTCAATAAATCAATAGAGAAGGTTTGCTCCATAGCACTGCATTCTTTGAAAACTAAAGTTCTAAGCAGAACTAGTAATCAAATTCATTTCAGTGACGACCCTTCAAGGCCAAAACAATCTTTGTATGACGAGATTCTTGATGATTCTTTGGAATAGAGAAATATTCAAAACTATTTGTCATTACTTCCTAATAAGGGCTCACTAATTTTTACATTGTGACCAAGATTTAACATATTTATAAGGAAACCTCCAGTGGCCTTCAAACAATGTCGCCTGCAACATTGATGTAGAGTGACAATGACTGCAATAAAAACTCAAAAAATTGGTTTGGCCTTTATGCGTAAACAATGATTTAAGTTATTTTATTAGTTAGCTATTTTATATTATCTAGCTTGTCTTATTATTTATTTAATAATATATTTTACATCTTATTGATTATTAATTTATTTTTTACTTCTCATTTAACTGATGTTTCAGCTTTTTTTCTTTGATATTTAATAAATTTAAACATAAAATTAGTATACAACTGATTTTCAAAATCAATATTATCGTCAAAAACGTTTTTATTTAATGTAAAAAGTTTTATTTTAGAGCAGAAACTACTAAAAAAATAGAGCCTCTAAAACTGCTGTACCTAGGAATAAAGACCCCTCCTTCTTTTAGCGCTGTTGAGGCTAATTTTCTAAAAATGCTTAGGAGTCAACTTAAGCTAAAGACGCCCCTGGTACTGCAACTGCAAAATTAGCATCAAACCCATTCAGAAATTAAAACCCAAACTTTTGTTTGGGTTTGGCATTAATTTCTGAACTTGAGCTAATTGCTAAAAAAATCGGAAAGTAATCAGATATTTTTGTTTTTAAAATACCTTTTTAGAACTCAATGATTTTTATCTTAAAAGACTTGGTATCCTTAGAAAAAATGTCATCTATTAACAAACTAATAGATGAAAGGAAACTTATTGAGCATCGCATTTAGTACTTAAGTAACTCTAACATTGTAAAATAATATGAAATACCAGTGGCAAAAATTTACTTTAGACCATCAAAGAGCGTTTTCCGATTTATATATATATATATATATATATATATATATATATATATATATATATATATATATATATATATATATATATATATATATATATATATATTTATATATATATATTTATATATATATACAGTTAATTTATTAAGTTATTCTATTAAGAGCTATTCTTCACTCAAAAATATGCAAGGTTATCACTTTGTATGAGACACAAACAGCTAAATTAAGTCTATGACTGTTACAATGAGCATACGCAGCTTTTTCATTCAGATTTAAAATACAAGAGGACAAACCAAGTGCGGTTATTATAGTTTTATATAAACAACTTATATTATAATATGTTTTTGTGGACACAGGTAAAATGCAAAAATGCGGAAATTTTCAATGTGTAAAATGCAGGAAAAAAGTGCAGAAAATTTCTCCTAACCCTAAGCTTATTGCTGCCCCAATCAAAACACTTAGTCAATGATGGTAGATTCAATCTTTTTAGTCTTTCATAATATAATAGAAGTCTCAAGCTGGAAGTCCATTTTGTTGTTTTGCGTTGAACTTATTCAATCAAGGTTTTATCAGCTTTTAAAAGAGAAGCCCAAATAGACACTGTATATTTATGTGCGGTCAAATAAACACTTTATATAACTTGAGAGCTATATTTTCATTAATGAAATGCCATATTTACCATATTTCCGTTAATTAAAATGAATGTCTTTTTGCTTATCAAGAATTTGTAAGGACTTCGAGACAACTGTTCAAAAATATGTTCACCACTTAGCGTTACATGAAATAATGACTCCTTAATTACGCACTTTAGTAAAGCTTTTTAGGAATTGATTTATTATACCCTTTTATTCTGTTTCCCATTTATTCCGAAACATCCTAATTTCAACATAAGTCTGTTTTGAGGTATAAATCGTCTGCTTTGGCGAAATCGAAATTACATCAATAAATCGGTGAAATACTATAGAAGATGAAATAATATTAAAATTCTCTATTACATTAGTCATGCATAATTTATGGTGAAGAAAGCCATGTTAATTTGCAGAGAGCATTTTATTATTGTTAATGCGCTTAAAGATTTCGTTCTTAACAAGTATTTTGACTCTTTTGCAGGCAACAGAGTTTAGTGAAATATATCCATTGTTTTCAGCAAGTAATCTATCTTCCTTTTTTTATAGACCAAACTAAAGTTTTCTAAATTCTAGAGAGTGAGTAGTATTTCAGAATTAAAGAAAAGATGAAATTTTGTAAATGGAAAAAATATTTAGGAGCTTAGATTGGTAAGTTAATAATATGACGTTACCACTGCGCAACGACAGAGTAGCGGTGGCGCAGTGGTAGCGCACTTGCCTAAGAATCAAAGTATCCGTGGTTCAAACCCCACCTCTAGACAAGAAGGAGACATGAACTTCCTATTAAATGCTTATCCGCAGTACTCTGTGATAAGACCATAAGGACTTCTTAGGGCACCTAAATAAAATTTAAAAAAAAAAAAAAGAAAAATGTCTTATATATAAAAACACAAGTTGTCATTATAAGTTCATTCAGGTTAATATCACTTTTTTAACGTTGGAAATTATTCAGAGGGACTTTAATATTATTTCTTTTTTGTGTGCTCTTTTTGCTTCAAATTTTTTAGCTTTTACGGAACTATTAAGAAGATAGCAGTTTATTTTAAATTTATTATTTTTCCATTTGTTGAGCAGTTGATCCACCAAACGAATTTTTTTGTTCGGATTACGTTTTTAATATGAGTAACCTTGGGTTACTACTTTATATCATACTTTTTCTTTGTTGTTAACCTTGGG